GATTGGTTGATTAGATAATTGCATTAATGAGAAATTGAACAGGTGTTCCTAATAATCCTTTAGGTGAGTGTATATTATTACTATCATTACTAATAACAACAGCAGTTATTAGCAATAATAATCCTAATTATTAATACGTAATTATAAATATTATTATATAATAACATTATATACTTTTGATGTTGTTGTTATTATTATTATTATTATTATTAGTCATGGGAGTTGGAAATGGGAAGGACACTTCCCCTCCAATAAACAAATGAACGAACGAATGAACAAATGAATTTTTTTATCATGAATTTGTGCCTTACTGATACCAATTTGCTGCACATGCAGAGGATGAGGACAAAACGTGTATACCCAATAAATATTTATCAAATAGATAATGTCATTACATACGGTTAAAAGAAGCTACATTTCTTAATGCTAATGCATTTATATGTAAAAGGCTCAAGTTTCACTCCCATTTAACTGTTACGCTGTTTCCATTTGGAACGTTTGCTGTGTGGCGAGAGCCAACCGAGGACATCTACTTCCCCACCACAAGTTGGCTTGTTTAAACCATTCTTAATATGTTTTTCAATATGAAAAATGAATGTGCGCCATTTTTGGAAAAGTAAATGGTGATAGAGCAGTCTGTTCAGACACTTTATGAGCTATAAGAATAAAAAACTGTTCTAAGCAACTTCTTCTGGTCAAGTAGAAATTACGCTACATTTGCAAAGTGTGAATACGGTGTGTGCAATAAAAGGACGCAAATTGCTGAAAGAGGATTTGTGGGAAAAAAGCAAGAGGTACACAACGACTAATTACTGCATTTTTAAACGTGGCTATAATAAACCGAGTCACATCATGGTATTCCAGTGTATGGGGAGAGTTATCATTAGATAAATTTGGTGTTGAGAATGACGGATTTAAAAAGTGGCTGAATGTTGTATGGCACCAAAACAGAAGAGCTGTTCGTAGCGTGGTCAGCATTGCTGACCAAACTGTATATCAAACATCTCATAACACTAGCTTGGAAAATGTGGAGAATGGTGCTTTCATCCAAACGGTAGCGCATCAAGATGACGTTGAAGACAGAAATATAGAAATATAGGATGAGTAGGGATACTCAGATCCAGATATGCGGGGAAAGGAAAGCTTTAATGGAGCTGAGGATAGGTGAATACAGAGGAGCAGCAAGCTCACAGAGCAACTGAAAGACAGCACAACCGTCCAAAGGGTCAGAGCAGTGGTGAGAGGTAACGAGGTTTCCTTTGGGATGGTGATCAGGTTGACAGTCGTGGAATCGGCAGGCAAGGGGCATAGTCGTGGTTCCGGAGCATGGGTCGTTAGCCAAAAGGTCCGTCCAACAGAGAAACACAGGACGAGAGGACACACGGGGAAGAAGACAGGAGACGCTGGACTCAGCAGGGCAGGTAGTTCAGGAACGGGAGCAGGACTGAGGAGGTAAGGCACAAAAGGTAAGGATCTCACACAAGGCGATCGGGTCCCACCCTTTGCCGTATATGGAATGGGCCTATGTATCGAGCGGTGAGCTTATGGCATCCAGGGAGCCACACCTGTTGTCCCACTCGATAAGGACATCTGGGATGTCGGTGCTTATCTGCTTGAGTCTTAGTTCGTTCAGCCTGTGATTGTAGAGCACGTTGGATTTGTCTCCAGGCTTGTTTGCTCTCCTGGAACTAGGCGTCGACTTTAGGCACCGCTCCGTCAGGGGCGTCCCACGGGAACAGAGGAGGCTGAAACCCTAGGATACACTGGAAAGGAGTGAGGTTTGTTATGGGACTCACCCGAGAGTTGAGGGAATATTCCGTCCACACCAGATGAGTTGACCACTTGGAAGGGTCGGTCCGCACCAGTTGCCTAAGGGCTTTACAAACTTGATTAGTGCCTGGGTCAGCACGAACACCTCCAATGATTCCGTATGGAGGGTTCCCACCTGCATCACGAAGGGGTGAGTGCGATGTTGTATGGTTCCCCACCGGTAACTCCGTGCACCGCGATGGGATATGCCAGTCTGCAAAGGGGAACCTGCAGCTGGCGAGCCAGGTTAGCCTCTATAAAGTTCCCCACTGCCCCACTATCAATGAGTGCCCTTATCGTGCATCGTTTCTCAGCCGGTCACTGCTCTTACATTATCAGCCTGGTGTCTTCCGTGGCAGCGATCTCTCACAGTGTTATCTAACCTTACTGCTTGACGTACTAATTCCTCGAAAGACGGAGCTTCCCCTCTTGCGGAGAGCTCGTCTTGCAGCTCAGGATTCAGAGCACGCAAGAAAATCGTCTGGAGGCAATCATCCGGCCACCAGAGTGTGGCTGCGATGGTACGGAACTCCAGTGAAAAGTCCGCAGCGGTTCGGTTACCCTGACGACAGTCTAAAAGGCGCATCCCCAGACGCCTTCCCACCGCCGGGTGATCAAACACCTCCATGAGTGCACGGTGAAACTCTCTACCTGACTGCAGCAGGGGGCTGTTGTCCGCCCACAGCGCGTTCACCCACTCATCTACCATCAGGGAGATGGTAAAACGTACCTCCGCTCCCGACGTGGTGAACATTTCTGTATGCTCCTCCACATATATGCCGACTTGCATTAGGAAGCCTTTGCATTGGTCGGGGTTACTGTCATATCGTTCAGGCAGGGCGATCGGC